CCACAGACACAACATCTTTTTTGCAGTGCTGGGGTAGGTTTGTGTTGGGGTAGGTAGGAGGACATCAGGAAAATGTCTCTCATTTAGCAAGATAACTGCATCTGGATGTGGGCCACAGCACCTTCTGGATACAATAGGGCTCAGATGATCGCTTCCTGAAATTTTGGGAAGGATCCAGCTCTTCCAGTAGCTTTGTAAATAACAAATTGTATAGAGCCAATTGAAATAAATATATATCTATATATATATACACACACACACACACACACATACACTTTTTTGTACCAGAGCCTAGCTCTGCAGGTGGCTAAATATGGCTTCATCATTTGGTCGTTGAAGTCTACACCACCCCCAGGCTTTCCAAAGACACAGACGCCATGTGAGTTTGGACCATTGTGTCTAAGTGAATGCAAGACATAATGAATAAATCTCATATTTTCCTTACATTTTACGGCTAGTAGTTCTTCATTCAAAACAGGTTTTCTCCCCCTTTCTACAGTAAGTGGGGTGAATGAATCTTCTGAAGACTCAACAAATATCTCAGAAAATATCTTGGGAATTCTGCTTTCCAAAAAAAGGTCATTTAGGGGGTGTATATAATGTTCTAGCATTTTAGGGCCTCCGAAAATGTGACAGGTAGTCAGGAAATCCAATACAAAATTAACACCCCTTGAAAGCCTAAAGATGCTCATTGTATTTTGAGCCCCTGTACGTAACTAGGCTGCCAAAAAGTCTTTCAAATGTGGTATCCCCATACTCAGGAGAAGTATCAGAATGTGTTTTACGATGTAATTCCACATATACCCATGGCATTTATGAGAAATATCTAATTAAAGTGACAACTTTGTGTAAAAAAAAAGAACTTTTTTTGGCATTTTCCAAAAACTTGTGGCAAAAAATAAAATCTTCCATGGACTCAACATGCCTCTCAGCAAATACCTTAGGGTGTCTACTTTCCAAAAAGGGGTAATTTGAGGGGCATTTGTACTGTCCTGGCATTTTAACTCCTGAAGAAATGTGATAGGTCGTCAGAAATCCAGACCTGCTAAAAAGCTGCGTAAATTCCAGTATACAGTTGTGCTCAAACGTTTGCACACTCTTGAAGAATTGTATACAGTATGTACCATTTTAAACATGAGAAACATGAGTGAGCTGGCAAAACACATTTCTTTTATTTTGTATGGTATTCATATTCAACTGTAGGTAATAACAGAATGGCACAATCATAAAAAACAAAACTAGGCAACAAGTAAACAACTGAAAAGACTGTGTATTGCCCCCTTTAGCATCAATAACAGCAAGCAGTCCTGTGTAACAGTTGTCTTCGAAGCCCCAAATTCTTGCAGGTGGCATAGCTGCCCATTTCTTCATGCCTCCAGGTCATGCAAAGTCCTGCAAAATCTTTGGTCGTCTTGCATGAACCACACGTTTGACATCTCCCCAGAGTGGCTTGATGATATTAAGTTCAGGAGACAGTGATGGCCACTCCAGAACCTACATCTTTTTCTGGTATAACCTAAGGAGGGTCAACTTGGCCTTGTGCTTAGGGTCATTGTCATGCTGGAAAGTTCAAGATCATTTCATGCATAGCTTTCATGCAGAAGAATGCAAATTGTCTGCCAGTGTTTTCTGATAACATGCTGCATTCATCGCACCATTATTTGTCACAAGATTCCCCATGCCTTTAGAGCTCACACACCCCCAAAACATCATTGAACCCCCACCATACTTCCCAGTGGGGGTGGTATTTTTTGTCACTATAGACTGTGTTGACCCCTCTCCAAACATAGCGCTTATGGTTTGGACCATAAAGCTCTAATTTGGTCTCATCACTCCAGATTGCAGTGTGTCAGAAGATGTGAGACTTGTCAAGTGTTGTTGGCACTAGTTTTTTTGTGGGTAAAGGATTCTTTCTGGCAACTCGACCATGCAGCTAATTGTTCTTCAAGTATCATTGTATTGTGCTCCTTGAAAAAACCACACTGTCTTTTTCCAGAGTAGCCTGTATTTCTCCTGAGGTTACCTGTGGGGTTTTCTTTGTAACCCAAACAATTCTCCTGGCAGTTGTGGCTGCAATTTTTCTTGGTCTACCTGACCTTGGCTTGGTATCAGGAAATCCCCAAATGTTCCACTTCTTAATAAATGATTTAACAGTACTGACCTGCATATGCAAGGCTTTGGATATCTTTTATATCTTTTTTTCATCTTTATAAAGTTGCATTACCTTGTAACGCAGGTCTTTTGACAGTTCTTATCTGCTGCCCATGGTTCATTATCTAGCCTGATCAGTGCATCCACATGAGAGCTAACAAACTTGTTAACTATTTATACACGGTCACTAATTGCAATTTGAAAAGCCACAAATGTGGGAAATTAACCTTTAATTGCTGTTTTTTTTACCTGTGAGTTACCTTGTTTTTCTGTGTCAAGGTCAAACTAGATATGTAAACTTTTAATCACCCTCTTTTATCCCTATACAGACCAGGATCCCCCGTTTCACTCCAGTTCTTCTCTACCCATCCCCTACTCTCCCTCTCTTTTTCCCCTCTCTTCCATGGTTCCCAGCCCCATCCCACACCCAATTTTTTTGCAGGGGTTAAGGAAGAACCCCGAGGTGGAGCATCATAAACTGCTGCTGCTTGTGTGCCAACCCCTGCTGACCTTCTTCTCCTATTCATCCAAATGTGATTGGAGCTGTACACATGCCACCCACACAAGCAGCAGCAGTAGTAAGATGCTCTGCCTCAGGATTCTTCCGTAACCCATGACAAGCACTGGAACAGTGCCAGAAACTGTGCAGGGGAAAGTAGAGGGGTGAGATGTCATTCCAATTGTAGATTTAGCACAGATTTGTGATTGAGTAGACCATATGTGTATTATACATTGCTGCCACTATACTCTACCCTCCTGCCCCCCCTGTATTGTGTCTGCTAACCCTTCCCCCCTGTACTGTGATCCCCTCTCCCCCCTGTTTTGTAACCTCCTGCCCCCTGTACTGTCTGTTTACCCTTCCCCTGTACTGAGACCCCCTGTCCCCCCTGTACTGTATGCTCTTGCCCCCTGTACTGTGTTCGCTTACCCCCCCCTGTACTGTTCCCTCCTGCCCCCTGTACTGTATCTGCTTACCCTCCCCTGGTATTGTGGCCTTCTGCCCCCCATGTACTTCTTCCCTCTTGCCCCTCCCATACTCTGCCCTTCTTGCCCCACTGACCTCCGTACTCTGCCCTCCTGACACCTTGTTCTCTGCTCTACTGATCTTTTATATTGTTTGGATATTTGTGTTGATTGGTCTGATTTATGGTTTGCTTTCTTATTGTTTAAAATCAAATTTATTGAAAGTATTAATAAATATGTTTAATTCTATCAACTATTTATAGTTTCATTCTTGAGAGTAGGTGCGTAAATTGGTGCAGGCTGGTAGGGGCCCCAGTGCATTACTTTGCCCAGGAGCCCATGATGCTATTAAGATGGCCCTGATAGTTTTGCATGACTGAGCAATTGGCAGGTAAAGTAGCACAGTGCTGAATAGCAAAAGATGGACTGATCATGAAGGTAGTAAAACCTTCCGAAGGGCAAGTGTTTAAGTGAAATATTTCTTGAGATACCGGTTGAGCCTTCCTAGCACATCTATTAGGGCTTGTGTCATTGAGAAAAGGTGGCATATTTTCAGATGCATTTAGCTAACCTTTGAGATCAGTTTAAGACGAGTACTATTTAAGTGCTTCACTGGTGCTTCTAATTTACAATGGGTCTCATCTGACTTCCAGCTGTCCGTCTTTCATTCACTTGTACAGAGAGAAAAAGCAGTTCTAACGTGCAAAAGCCATGCATACAGGCCCTAAAGCCTCTCACTTAGTGTAATTCCAAGCAATAGGGTCACCTGTCCTGCACTACATTCTAAATATGTTCGTACATTTCTTAGGTTTACTAGCTATTTTCAAATAATGCTAAATATAAAAACAAAATATTTGAACAGAGACAATACATCCTTTGTCCTGGCTAATACAAAAACATGTAAGGAGTATAATAGTTAATTAGGTTGTGTTTTTCTTTAATTCTACTATAGCATTGACCATGAGTCTTTTCATCTTTACTTCTACTATAGCATTGACTATGAGTCACCATACAGATGAGAATCTGTATGTGAAAAGGCATATTTTGTAATATAGAATTCTTCATTACATATTCTAAATATATTCCACTCAATGTCCAGTCTCTGAGGACCTGGAGCTCATTACGGACAAGCATGGCCTGAGGCAGCAATTTAAATATATTTTAGTGAGCTGGGAGTTTGAACTTCTGGTAGCATCTATTTGCTATCTGTTGCCCCACTAGGGAGAATTTCTTTTATCGCTGTATTCCTGTTCCATTAATGAATCCCCTGGAATATGACAGATCATCCCCAATAGGGACACAGCCAACAAGAAATTACAAACAGAGGTTCTATTCATTCTGCACATTATCAAAAGTAGATTGTTTCCATCACTCAGCAACACAATATATGAGGGTTCATCGAAAAGTTTCCACACTTTTTATTAACTATATACAGAATATATATATATATATATATATATATATATATATATATATATATATACACACACACACCCACACAGTACATACAACCACGGCACCACCTGCCTGGAGTCTGCATGTTCTCTCTGTGCCTCCGCAAGGTACTCGGGTTTCCTCCCACCCTCTAAAGACATGCTGGTATGTTAAATGGATCCTGTCTTAATTGGCCCTAGTATGTGTATGTATGAATGTAAGTTAGGGACTTTAGATTGTATGCCCCTTGAGGGTTAGGGACCCTCATGTGAATGTACAATATATATATGTAAAGCGCTGCATAAATTGATGGCGCTATATAAGTACCTGTTATAAGTAAATAAAATACATAATCTACACTATATTGCCAAAAGTATTGGGACACTCCTCCAAATCATTGGATTCAGGTGTTCCAATCACCTCCAGGGCCACAGGTGTATACAATCAAGCACCTAGGCATGCAAACTGCTTCTACAAACATTTGTGAAAGAATGGGTCGCTCTCAGATGCTCAGTGAATTCAAGGGTAGTACCGTGATAGGTTGCCACCTGTGCAATAGGTCCATCCGTGAAATTTACTTGTTACTAAATATTCCACAGTCATACTGTATGTGGTATTACAACAAAGTGGAAGAAACTCAGCCACGAAGTGGTAGGCCACATAGATTGACAGAGCAGGGTCAGCGCATGCTGAAGTGCGCAGAAGTCACCAACTGTATGCCGGGTCAACAGCTAAAGACCTTAAAACTTCGTGTGGCCTTCATATTAGCACAACAGTGTGTAGAGAGCTTCATGGAATGGGTTTCTATGGCTGAGCAGCTGCATCCAAGCCTTACATCACCAAGTGCAATGCAAAGCGTCGGATACAGTTGTGTAAAGCATGCCACCACTGAACTCTAGAGCAGTGGAGACGTGTTCTATGCAGTGACAAATTACCCTTCTCTGTCTGGCAATCCGATGGATGTGTCTAGGTTTGGTGGTTGCCAGGAGAATGGTACTTGCCTGACTGCATTGTGCCAAGCATATAGTTTGGTGGAGGGGGGATTATGGTGTGGGGTTAATTTTCAGGGGTTGGATTTAGCCCCTTAGTTCCAGTAAAGGGTGGGCCAGCTCAGTATTAAACTCTACAGACTAAGACTGGGATGCCATTAAATTTCATGTGCGTGTAAAGGCAGGCTTCCCAATACTTTTGGCAATATAGTATATATATATATATATATATATATATATACATACAGTATATATATATATATATATATATATATATATATATATATATATATATACACACGCACACATAGAAACATTTTGAAGACCGTTCGTAATTTTATATTTGCACTAGACTAATATTTTTCATTTATTTATTTATTTTGAGCATGGTTACAATATTACAATAATAGCATAAAAGAGTAAAGTATATGTAAACCTAAACACTAAAAGTTAATTCAGGCTTCACCATGTTAGGCTCCTTTCACACTGCTATGCTGTGGTTTCTCCACAGTGTGGGTGCAGTGCAGTGCAGTGTACCCATGTTTTTTGTGCTGCTTACCTGCGCTTTGCCATTGACTTCTGTAACCTATAGTAGGTGGAGCCTGCTGCCCCACCCCTAGTTCTGTTCTCTGCATAGGCTATGTACAGCACAGCAGGGCCATTTTAAAGAATAGGGCACACCTGGGCACTAGATTCATGGGTGTGTTATGACCAGGACTAAGACAAGTGGGAAGCCAGGGCTCTGTGCTGGGTAGGGGGTGCTTTCTCTTCCCTACTGCACGGGGTGAAAGAGAGCCTGCACCGAGACTGAGAACTCATCTTTGTCTCAGCAGGGGAGAGGAAGGAAGAGTTATCTTAAATACAGGAGGAAACAGCACTAGGGATCTGTAAGAGGGGAAGGGGGGTACAACTTTGATGGATGGGGACACTGGGATAGGGACACCTAATGTCAGGGCACATTGTGATGGGGACACCTGATGTCAGGAGACACTGTGATGGGGACACCTGATGGATGGGGACACTGTGATGGGGACACTTGATGTAAGGGGAGTCTGTGATGAGGATACCTGATGTAAGGGGACACTGGTAGAATGGGGACACCTGATGTCAGGGGACACTGTGATGGGAAAACCTAATGTAAGGGGACACTGTGATGGGGACACATGATGTCAGGGGCACTGTGATGGGGACACCTGATATAAGGGGACACCTGTTGTAAGGGGACGCTGTGATGGGGACACCTGATGTAAGCGGACATCTGTAAAATGGGGACACCTGATGTCAGGGGACACTGTGATGGGGAAACCTGATGTAAGGGGACACTCTGATGAAGATACAGGATGTCAGGAGGCACTGTGATGGGGACACCTGATGTAAGGGGACACTGTGATGGGAAAACCTAATGTAAGGGGACACTGTGATGGGGACACATGATGTCAGGGGCACAGTGATGGGGACACCTGATATAAGGGGACACCTGTTGTAAGGAGACGCTGTGATGGGGACACCTGATGTAAGCGGACATCTGTAAAATGGGGACACCTGATGTCAGGGGACACTGTGATGGGGAAACCTGATGTAAGGGGACACTCTGATGAAGATACAGGATGTCAGGAGGCACTGTGATGGGGACACCTGATGAATGGGGACACTGTGATGGGGACACCTGATGTAAGGGGACACTGTGATGGGGATACCTGATGTAAGGGGACACTGGTAGAATGGGGACACCTGATGTCAGGGGACACTGTGATGGGGACACATGATGTCAGGGGACACCTGATTTAAGGGTACGCGGTGAAGGGCACACCTGTTGTAAAGGGACATCGGTAGAATGGGGACACCTGATGTCAGGGACACTGTGATGGGGAAACCTGATGTAAGGGGACACTGTGATGAAGACACATGATGTCAGGGGACACTGTGATGGGGACACCTGATGGAAGGGGACACCTGATGGATAGGGTCAATGTGATGGGGACACTGATGTCTGGGGATATTATGATGGGGACACTGATGGGGAGATCTGATGTCTGTGGACACTGTGATGGGGACACCGGATGGATGGGAACACTGTGATGGTGACCTCTGATGTAAGGGGACACCTGATGCAAGTTGGTAGGGCCCTCAGTGCATTACTTTGCCCAGGGACCCTTGATGCTATTAGAATATTTTGGAAGTTAAAGCTGACCTCCAGGCACAAAAACAAAAAGTAAGGTCACATATAAAAAACAAACAAACAAAAAACACACATGATATACTGCAAAATAAAATAAGGGAATTACGCTCAAACTAATGCTGATGCTGAAAAGTCTTCCTATTTAGAGGCTAATTAAAACATTGACAATTAGGCATATTAGGTGTCACACATGACACTACAAACTAGTCTACAAAGCTTAGTCTACAAATGGTCCTCAGGTATTTTGGAGAATATATGATGGGTGGGAGTATTTTGGGTGTTCTATGATTAATGTTAATTAAGTTAATTCATATTCTTAACTTTTCACCAAAGATCTGAGGAGCAGATGTAGTAAGTAATAAGCTTTCTGGGAGTGTGTAGGTAGACTAAGTAAAGTCTTTCTGCAAATAGTGTGCCTTATAAATTGCTGTTAGGGCCATTATAAATGCAGCTGAATTGATAGAGTGTAAGGAAGTGTTCTAGGGTCTATTTACACTTGTTCATTTTCATGCCACACAACACGTGCATTTTGCTGCATGAAAATGCATTTCAAACAGAAATCCCATTCAACTAGGGTTATCACCAAAGATTGCAAGGGTTTCCTAAAGCAATGAGCAATTTCTGCCTCTCAGATAAGTTCCCACTGACACCATTGGTCTTTTTAGCTACCTGTAAGGGGGTATTCTTCCCAATGACCACAAGAGTAAGGAGCATTCTTCCCACTGACCAACACACTAATGTATCATGAGTTGTAAATACAGTAATTTTTAACAGTTGTTTCCTGAGACTGGAAAGTTAATTCAAGGGTTCCTCTGTCCTGAAAAGTTTGAGAAAGGCTGCTGTATGGGCAAAATCACACCTATGGAGATGCACAGGCTTTTTTTTGGTGCCGAAAATCTATATATTATTTTTCAGGGAATACAAAGCATTCTCTGTTTGGACATGGTGAAGATCATGATGTCACAATTCCCCCTCTTCACCTTGTGGCATAACTGGAACCTTTAGGGCCCTGGTGCAATAAACTGTGAAGGGCTCCTGTGACCCTCAACTGGAGCCCTTCCCTCCGAGCCCAGTAGTGGAACGCCAGGGCCAAGTCGTAAGTGCGACCTTTGTGACCCTGGTAGTTCCGCCACTGGTGTTAGTAGTTTTTTTTTCTTTGTTATTTAAAAATATTATTATTTACAATTTTTTTTAAGAGCCTCATTGGGGGGCGTAGGTGAGATATCACGGATCTAAAACAAAGGAAGGAGGAAAGGAAGAGAAGAGAAGACAAGAGAAGAGAGAGTCCATCTTACATTACAGTACTCACTGAGAGGCAGGAGAGAAAAGGGGGGGGGGACTGTCACCACTAACTCTCTCAGCTCAGGTGCAGCCAGAAGAAGCTAAATAGGAGAAGCGACGGTGCGGATGCATGTAGCAGTGCCAATCGAGCATCACCCCTCTGGTCAGTGTGCAGAGAGGAAGCCTTCCAGCACAGGGCCACAACGACCACATCTCTCACTGTAGTAGCTATTACAATGATTGTAATCTTCCCCATCAGACCATCGGGTATGCATACTTACATTGGTCATTGGTCCAAGGTGGACCAAAATAAGTATGCAATAAAGATTATACAGTGCCTGGAGTTAACTTTTCATGGTGGTGTCTGTTACTATTTAGTGCATCACTTACCAACAACAGCATATCAAGTGTCTGGGCATCAGATATGAATATACAGATCCATGACTTAAAAATGAGAGAAGAAAGGAGAAGGATGCTAAATCTGGAGCCCCCAGCCTCCCCCCCAAAAAAAATGTAAAGTCTGCAGCTACAAATACTGTAGCTGCTGACTTTTAATATTAGGGCACTTACCTGTCCAGGGATCCAGCGGTGTCCTAAACCCTGAGCTGATTCTTCGTCTGTTGGGTGCTGATGCCGCCATCTTAACTAAAGGAAACCAGCAGTGAAGCAATACGACTTCACAGCCGGTTTCCTACCGTGCATGTGCAAAGGACCTGTGCAGCTTCGTACAGGCACAGAGGGCTGCAGGGGGGGCCAGCTTCCAGCTCAGTTCACCATGACGAACTGAGCCAGAAGTGGGAGTGGGTACCTTGCAAACCCAGGTACCTCCCCCCAAAAGGTGCCAAATGTGGCAGTGGATGGGGAAGGAGGCAGAAAAGTGGAGTTTCCTACATTTTATATGCAGCCTTCTAATGTTTGACATGTCCTTATTTTTATTCTCCTGCAGTAGATTTCATGCAGTATGTATCTTGTAATGCCTGTCATGGTATTGTTGCTTCACTTATCTCAGATCACCATGTACAAATCCCCCCCCCAGAAAAAAACATTTTGCACTAAAAGCCTAAAAGTAAAGTATTGAAGATGAACTCCAGGCATGATATATTTTTACATAGTTCCACCTTCGACTGGGGTAATATATATATATACACATATATACATACATACATACATACATACACTGTATATCATACCTGGCCATAACCCTGGAAACTGGAAATCCCTGAAGTCTCCTAGATTGTAAGCAGGATCAGGCCCTCCTAACCCTCTTGTATTGAACTGTATTGTTGCTGTATTGTCTCCCTTTATATTGTAAAGCGCTGAGCAAACTGTTGGCGCTATATAAATCCTATATAATAATAATAATTCTACATTGAAATATATATAAAATCCACATATAGTGCTTTTTTCCATGCAGTACCTTTCATCTTTATGGGAGATGCAGTAAGAGGAAACTGGACAGCTGCAGTATTTCTGTAATACAAATCCATATTATCAAGAATGGCACAATTAGAAATAAACACATGGAACTCTCTATAGCAGCGGTTCTCAACCTGTGGGTCGCGACCCCTTTGGGGG